CACAATATCTTTGTTTGTATGTGGTGTTGAGGATCGAACCCGGGCCGCACGCATACCAGGCGAGCGCACTACCGCTTGAGCCACATCCCCAGCCCGATCTTGCTGTTATTGAACTCTGCTCTATCTTTCCTTTTTCCGGTATAGGGGATTGTGAAATAGTATGTTACCTTTCTGATTAACTTAGTGCAAGCTGTGTTTCTAGCACTCGTAATGTAAGTTCTGACATAATATAAGAAAAGTTCCCTGATATAAGAAAATACACTTAGCCAGAGGCAAAGGAGACTTAGCTTTGTATTGACTACAAGAAAAAAAACCTTTGTTAGAATAGTTTTCTGATCTATAAAGGATGCAATATTGGACAGATTTATGATCAAGAGTGCAGCACAGTGGCATATAACTATAATCCAGCTATGAGGCTGAGGCAAGAAAACCACAAGTTCAAGGCTAGCAACTTAGCAAGATTCTGTCTCAAAATAAAGAATAAAAAGGGTTGGGGATGTAGTTCAGTAATAAACTGCCCCTAGATTCAATCCCTAGTATCACCAAGCAAACAAAAAAAGATTGAAAAAATATTTTAGAATGGCTTTTTTTTTTTTTTTTTTTGGTGGTACAACCAACCATTCTACCACTGAGCTACATCCCAGACCTTTTTATTCTTTATTTTGGGACAGGTCATACTAAGTTGCCCAGGCTGGCCTTGAACTTGTGATCCTCTTGCCTCAGCCTACCCACTAGCTGAGATTACAGCTATGTACTACCATACCTTCTCAGAACTGCATTTTTCTAATCTTCAGAAAATATATTTGTCCTCCTAACCTTGCCTATTATAAATAAATAATACTACCTCTTAAATAAGTAGAATAGTATTTTTTATGCTAGAAAGTTTATGGGAAAGTTAAATATCTCTTAAAACAAAAGCAGACATTTCTAAGTATAGCAAAATTTATGTGTAAGCCATAGTTTTGCTAGTTAAGAGAATATCAGAAATCTACTCATGGGACTGTGAGTACAGTTCAATGGTAGAATATTTGCCTACACAGGCCTCAAGTTTGATCCTTAGCACCACAATTTAACAAGGGGGAGGGGAAGGGAGGGAAAGAGGAAAAGGTAAGGAAGAAAAAAGAAGAAATTACCCCAACCTCAATTTTTCTTCTAAATATTCACAAACCTTGGGCTGGGAATATAGCTCTGTGTTAGAGCATAGAGCACTGGCCTAGTATAAGGCCAAGAGTTCAATCTCCAGCACACAGAAAAAAAAAAAAAAAAAAAGCAGAAATCTAACAAGTAAAGATAATAGCATCATCTGTACTTTGTGGAAATAAGTCAATTAACTGATAAACTCAAATTTTAGCCACATAAAGAAAATAATTGCTAAAATTTTAGAATTATTATCAAAAGCTGGTTCTCAAGTTTTTTTTTAAATAACACTTGAAGAATCTGTAATTCACAAAGAAAAGTCCTTACTTTGTAATGGATTGACAAAAAGCTGCCACCTCCTCATTCTGTACTTCAATTTCTTGTAGAAGTGATCTTCCAGTTGGCAAACTAGTGGTCCCACTTGGGTCTTTCTGTAATTAAAAAAGTGTTTTTATTTTAAAGGTGAAAGATCTCTAAAAGATATACAGTAGCATAGCACAAACATTTTTATAAAAACACAAACTTATATAGGCAAAATAAATCGCAGCAGTATAAAGTTTTAAATATGGATTCCTATCTCAGTTATTTGGTTTAACTTGTCCAAGAGTAGAAACATACTGTATTGATTAGGAAAAGCGGAATGCTAAAGACCTTTCTTCTCAAAGTGTTCCTGAAATGAACACTTAAGTAAATTAACAGTTAAATGAAATTAAAGGATTACCTTCTGTTTTAAAACAATGAAGAGATCAAACCTAATTGGATCTCCACTAATACACCATGAATTCTATATATTCAACTTAGACTCCAATTCAAAGAGAATGAGTTTTAGAAGCAAATGAATGGGAATTTTCTCCATTAATAAACTTATATAAACATCCTAATATTCCTCCAAAAAGTTAAGTCTGGTAAAAATTTGTTTGCAATGTTGAGGGAGATCCATTTGCCACTCAAAAATAGCCAAACTGGAGAATCCATTTAAAGGTGCTTCAATATACTACATAAAAATACTTATTTTGGCAGAAATTTCAAGGGTAAATATCCTTTAAAACTAAAATACAAACATTCTCAATTCAAAATGAAATGAAATAAATCACAATGTATAAATTTCAAGAGTTGTAACAGATTTCAACATAAGTAAAACACAAGATTGATTAAACTGAAAATTTTAGGCAATGATTCCTTTAAAAGGTGGCAGAGCCCTTTCTGCTGGAATATCACATGCACATTTTTGGGGAAGGGGGTACCTGGAGTTGTACCAAAATCACAATTGAAAATAAAATGGCTCCTGGGAAAAAGAGTTAACACAGACTACTCAAAATCAGTGTTAACTATACAACCAAAGCCCTGACTAAAAATACTAGCACAGTTATGCTTACTTGTATTTGTACTTAGCATTAAGGTCTTCAATGTTTTGAGGCCTAAAACTCCGAATCTCTTGAAGTTAAGGACTGAGATGTATCTCAGTGGTAGAGTGCTTGCCTAGGATGAGGGAGCCCCTTGGTTGAATTCCCAGACACACACATGAAGTATAATACAGGAATTTAGACTTCTTCAATCAACCAAAAAACAAACAAAAAAGCTCATAATTCAAAGGGAAATGTCTTCATAGCTTCTTTGCCTGCATCCACTGTTTCAGTAGACAGTTCAATACTGCAATTCAGTTCACTCTTGAAGTCACCCACTTTCACTAAAAAAGAACACTTCCGCAGGATTTTCAGTGTTTTTCTTAATAATTTCCTCTATTGTTAAAGCTTTCTCTTGAATTTCTTTCTTTAAGTTTTATTTTTTAGTTGTAGTCAAACACAATACCTTTATTTTATCTATTTATTTTTATGTGGTGCTGAGAATTGAACCCAGGGCCTTGCACATGCTAAGTGAGAGCTCTACCGCTGAGCGACAACCCCAGCCCTTGAATCTCTCTTGATTGCTTCAAAAATGTTAATATGCTAGGAAAGATTATGTCTGAACTAATGCTACTTCCTTATTATACTAGCATCTGGAATGACCAATCACATATCAATTATTGTGTTATAGAAACAAGAATGGTAGCAAATAAGACTCTACTAAAGAATGGGATTTGATATTTCCTAGCAAATCCTTTTGATCTGATATCCCAAGTCTGCAACAATCTAATCCAATATTATTTCCTACAACTTCCCAAACAATATCTATGTTCCAGTTAGTCTGAACAATATTCTGTTTCAATAAAAAACAAATGGAGCTTATCTTGTCTAGGAATCATGTTCTTTGTCTGAAATGTTTTCCTCTCAATCTACCTCACAATATATCAATTTTTGGGGGGTGGGAGCAGTACTGGGAGTTGATCCCAAGGATGCTCTTCAATGAATTACCTCCCCAACCCTTAAAATTTTTTAAATTAATTTATTTATTTGCAGTATTGGGGATCAAACTCAGAGACATTTTACCATTGAGCTACATCCCCAGCTGTTTTTTTAATTTTTTATACAGGGTCTCAGTAAGTCGCCCAGACTGTCTTCAAACTTGCAATCCTGCTTTACCCTCCCGAGTTATAGATCACAGGCGTACACTACTGCACCTGCCCAGATATTACATATTTCAAAGACAGATTCTTACACTTCTTGGGGCACTTAAAAAATTTTTTTTAATTAAAAAAAGAAGAAATGTCTTCTTCCCAAGTCAATTGGTCCAGACAAAGATGACCTCAGCTGCTTCTCACCTGACTGCAGTATGGGGATTGTCAGGTGCATCCTTGACTTGCTGCTGGACCTCTACTTCCTCTCCAACATCCTCATCTCTGTCTGTGGACCTGTAGGTGGTGCTGCTACAAGAATTCTACTAAGTTTAGAAACCTGCTGATTTGGTATTCTAAAGACTTCAAATACCTTCTCATGCAGAGCACCCCAGTGTGGTTTAAGTGTTTTGCAAGCTTTTGTTTCAGCTGCCTTTATTTCCCCATTGCAACATATGCCTTCTTCAAAGGAAATTGCAAGTGGATCCACATCTCTGCAATCATCTACTCAGTTCATACCCTAACAACTTTAATTCTAATTCTCTCCACATTGCTAATTGAGGATTTCTCCAAAGCCAGTGGTTTCAAAAGACAAGATCCTGTGGCTTTCCATGAATGAATAACTCTCACAGGAATCTATCCCCCCTTTCTCACCTTATACTTATTCTTGTATACCTTATACTTCTATCTTTTCATGTTGAAGAACTCCTACTATGAGGAGAAAAGGAAGAAAACTGAGGGAAACAACCACTGGCCCAGGGGAAAGACGCTCACAGGGCATTGCCTTTTTGCCCCAATACAAAAGGGTCTGCTCTGGGGGAAAATGTTTTTTGAGTTCTTTATATATCCTGGATATTAATGCTCTACCAGGTTGGTTCAACATTTGGAATTCAATAAACATAATTCATACAAAGGATTTATAAAGAACTAAAAAAACCTTAACATAAAAAAAACAAAACCAATAACTCAACCAATAAATGGACTAAGAAACTGAATAGACACTTCACAGAAGAAGAAATAGAATCAGCGAACAAATATATGAAAAAAATGTTGAACATCACTAGCAATTAGAGAAATGCAAATCTAAACTACTCTAAGATTTCCTCTCACTCCAGTCAGAATGACAATTATTAAGAATACATGTAACAATAAATGTTGTGAGGATGTGTGGGAAAAAGTTCACTTATACATTGCTGGTGGGACTGCAAATTGGTGCAACCATTCTGGAAAGCAGTATGGAGATTCCTCGGAAAACCTGGAATGGAACCACCATTTGACGCAGTTATCCCACTCCTTGGTTTATACCCAAAGGATTTTAAATCAGCATACTATAGTGATACAGCCAAATCAATGTTCATAGCAGTTCAACACACAACAGCTAAGCTATGGAACCAATCTAGGTGCCATTCAATTGATAAATGGATGAAGAAAATGTGGTACATATACAAAATGGAATATTACTCAGCCACTAAGAAGAATGAAATTATGACTTTGCCAGTAAATGGATGGAACCAGAGGCTATCATTCTAAGTAAAATAAGCCAATCCCCCCAAATCAAAGGCCAAATGTTCTGACATGCAGATTCTGACTCACAATAGGAAGAGGGGAAGGAGGAGTGGAAGTTCACTGGATTAGGATGGGGGGACTTGGGAGGAAGTGAGGGAGGGTGTGAATGGGAAAGACAGTAAAATGAATCAGACATAACTTTCCTATGTTCATTTATGAATAAAACCCATGTAACTCCATATCATGTATAACCACAAGAATAGGAAGTTATATTCTAAGTATGCATGTCAAAATATATTCTATTGTCATGTATAACTAAAAAGAACAAGTTAAAAATTTGTTTTTGCAGTGCCTTTCAGAATTTGGTACTTCCTTTTAAGTTATAAGTTTTGATAATGACAGAAATACATTATAATAAGCAACTAGTCATTCATCAAGGTAATAAAAGAATCTGGAAAGTTAACTCAAATGTTCTGTCCATGAAAGGTAAAAAAATAGCTGGACTTAAACATACAATCATAAAGCTCTTTTTCTTAAAAAAAAATAAAGCTCTTTTTCTTAAAAAAAAAATAGCTGGACTGCCAATTATTTCACCCTCAATATTAGCTTCAACATTTTGGGTACTTTTTTCCTCTATTCTTTTTGGAACAATAAGAAAATTTTATACCTAATTCCTCAAGTCAAGTCCACACTTCACCCACCAACTTCACATGAGCAATCATAAGTATAAAATCATCTTTTTACTCCATTAATCCTGAAGATATTTCTTATGTGGCACTCTAGACTTTCTATTTTTTACTGCATTTATACACACATCTTGTCCTCTCCCTCCAGCTCAAGATGTTTAAAAGTGAGGTATTATGGTTTGGATGTGAAGTGTCCTCCAAAAGCTCACATGTAAGACAATGCAAGGTTTAGAGGAGAAATGATCAAATCACAAAGTACTAATCCAATCAGTGAATTAACCGCCCCCCATGGGATTAACTGAGTGGTGCTAAAGGTAGGTAGAGTATGGCTAGAGGAGGTGGTCCCTCCGGGTATGCCTTCGGGGCACATGTATGTATGAATGCATATATGTATGTATGTGTATGTGGGTATACATTTTTTTGTTGTTTTGTTTTTTAGTACCAAGGATTGAACACAGGGATGCTTAACCACTGAGCCACATTCCCAGCCCTTTAAAAAAATATTTTGTTTAGAGACAGGGTCTCCCTAAGTTGCTCAGGGCTCACTAAGTTGCTGAGGCTGACTTCTGCCTCAGCCTCCTGAGTCACTGGGATTATAGGTATGTGCCACCACTCCTGGCTGGGATGTATATTTTGTATCTGGCAAATGGAGTCTTTTTCTCTGCTACCTTTTTCTCTGCTTCCCTCTTTCACACTCTTCCACCATGATGTTCTGACTCACCTCAAGCCCTGAGGAATGGAGGGGATT